CCTATGAAGATTAATACAGCCTGAAACAATAGCTCTGAGAAATGTGAACTGCTCCATTAATCTCAATGCGGTGTTCTCATTCCCTCCCCCCCCCCAAAAGGTTTCATCACCTGTACCATTCTCTGAGCATGCCTGTCCTTAACTGTCCACCCCCTCTCAGCACTGGGTACCTATTTCATGCACAAAGCTCATTCCCAGCCCCCCATCCTGGTTTTAGCACTTTGGGGCATGTTTTGAAGGGGAGACAAACTGGGTATGTGTGGCTATGGGGAGGTTGGTTTGTGGGTATAGCTGAAATTTTCTAGATTCGTCCACTGCACAGCTGTGACCACCTCATTTTTTTCCTCCCCATGCTCCCTTGCACTGCTCTGACCTCCCCTTTTTCTCTAGAAGCCATAGCATCTGAAGGGAAGTCCCTTCCTCACTGATGGAGGCAGGAGGGGAATTCTGTTATTCCTCCTCTGACTGGAGACCAGTGGCAGAAAGAAGAACTCTGGAGTCACTCCCTCAGCCTAGTGAAATAGACATGGAGGAATTGTTGGGTGATGTGCAGTATGCATAGGGACAAGCTCTCAATATTTGTAGAAGAGGAGGAAGAGAGGGGGAAGGCATAGATTGCTCCACTTCCCCTTCTCCCTGTTTATAGTTCTGTCTTGTCAGCCCTTCTGAATTCCCAGAGCACAAAGGTCCATTTTTAGGGCGATCCCTTATTTGTCAAGGTGTCATAGAAGAAAAACTACTTTTCTGGAAACCAAGGTCTTCATCAAAGCTCTAGCCATCCCATTGGGTTTTTAAAAACGTAACATTTTTGAGTGATCCCTGGTACTAATAAGGGTCAGTATCTAAGGACGCGCTGGCCCCTCAGTAGCTGTGCCAGAGCAGCCCTAAGGGGCAAAGGTTGGCAAAGGGGCAGAGCCCTCATGCTGTACCCTCCCAAATCCCTGGTCTCAGAGCAAGACTTCCCAAAAAATTCCCTGTAGAATGCAGGCAGAGAGCGAAGAACATGTCTAGCTCATTATTTGAAAGCTGCCAAGGGTAGAGCTCAAACTCACAGTGCATGGTGTAGCTCAGGTTTTTCGAGAGCTTGTCCCTATGTGTAGTGCACTTTGGGTGTGCTTGCACCTGAGACCAAAGACTTCTTACTAGCAGCATCCACTTGGTTTGCGCATGCGCCCTTGCTCTTCTTGTGCACCATACTGAGGATACAAGGGATTGTGCCGGACTGCAACCATCTAAGTTCTTTCTCGCTGCTTGTGGTCCTAGATGGAGCCCCAGTATTTGCTGTGCTCTCCTGAAGTTTACCTGTAGATAGTTAGAGATAGCTATTTCTGTTCAGTTCAGTTAGGCTTGCTTTTCGTTGCTCTTAAGGGTGCTTCCTCCACTGAGCCCCCTCGCCCCCCACTTTTGGTGTGCATTTCTTCATCTACCCACCCCATTTGTTTCGTCCAGTGGGGAAGGGACAGCATGACAAAGAGCCCCAGTATTAAGAACTGTGTAGTCTGTCTGCACTGCTTCATGGTAAATGATGACCATGACTCCTGTTTGTACTGCCTGCGAGAAACCCATATTCCATCCAGATGCAGTATTTGCAGTTTATTTCCTTGAAGGACAAAGAAATTGCCGGAGATCAGCCTTAACATGTTCCTCGTGGACAAGTCTTTGAGAACATAGTTGGATTCTGAATAGGAAGAACCCCCCTGTACATCAACCTGAGAATGGTAAGAGCACCCCTTTGCCGTCTTCCGCTACTGAGGGTCCTGTGGAAGATCAAGCAGGACAAGGTATAGATCATTCTCATAGCTCCATGATGGCTGTGACATTTTTGGTCCTCCGTGATGCTTCAGCTGTTGGCCTGACCTCCAGTCAGCCGCCTCCTTGTATGGATCCCCTGACCCAGGACAAGAGAAAAGACTACCCATCTTGACCCATCCTTATGACAGCATGGTATTTGGATGGGTGTTAGATCTAGAGAGCTGTTACTTGGCAAGCATGCAGGCCATATGGAGTAGCAGCAGGAAAAACTCCACCAGGAAGTGCTACATCTCAACGTCTGGCATGACCAGTGGGAAGTTTCCCCGTTGCTGACCGAGACCCGCTGATGTGGTGGATTTCCTGCAATCCCTGAAGTCCACAGGATTATCCCTTAACTCCCTTAGGGTGCTCTTAGCTGTTGTCAGCACATTTCATTCCTTAGTGGACAGCCATACTATCTTTTCCCAAAAGGTTATGTTCTGGTTTCTGAGGGGGAATAGTGAGGATTTTCCACCAGTGATGACGCCTGCACTGGTTTGGGACTTCATCTTGTCTTACTGGCTCTTATGGGGCGCCATTCGAACTATTGTCATCATCCTCCCTTCTGCACCTTTCCGTGAAGGTGGAGTTTCTGGTCATGATCTCATTAGGGGGCGCTTATGGTGGACACCCCTCCTCGCCTCGATCTTCCACAAGGACAAGGTGTCTGAGGTTGCACTCAAAGTTCCTCCCTAAGGCGGTATTGGACATTCAGAGCATTAACTTACCTGTATCCTAGCCTAAGCCATGTGTCCTACACCTTGAATGTGGTAGGACCCTGGCCATTTACCTTCAGAGGACGAGGCTGCTTTGGAAGTCATCAAAGCTATCTCATTTGTGGAAAGAAAGGGGAGGCGATTTCTGCTCCGCGAAGGTCAAAATGGATCTCTGACTGCAAAATACTCTGTCATGAGGTGAACAAGGTCTCTCGAGGGCAGCATGAGAGCACGCTCAACGAGAACAAGAACCCAGGCAACCTTGATAGCATCTTGCAAGAATGTTCCAATCATTGACATCTGCAGGGGGTGACATTGGGCTCGGTCCATGTCTTCACAAAGTCCACTATGTTTTGGTACAGGCAGCTGCCTTAGATGCCTCCCTAGGCAGAGAGCAGTCCTTCAATCAGCACTTGGGCAATGCTCTGGGCACCCATCTCCATAAGCGGGATCACTGCCTCTGAATCACCTGAAGTTTGCTATGAATAGGGACAACCACTTGAAGAAGGAGCGGTTACCTTGTAGTAACTGGAGTTCTTCGAGGTGTGTTGTCCCTATTTTTAGTGTGCTGACTATCCTCTTTCCCCCTGCCTCAGATCCCAGTCTCAGGACTTTTGGTGATGTAGCTGAGATGGCAGTGGTCCAGTGCAGCCCCCCGTACACTCAGTGTGGAGCACAAGGAGAACAAGAACACTTCCACAGAGTAAGTGGACACTGCTAGGAAGAATTCTTGGATCTCAAGTGTATGCACAACTTGAAGTGAACTAGTGCATAGGTACAATGCATCTAGAAGAACTCCAGTTACAACAAGGTGAATAACCTCTCCAGCAGTGACCACATCATGGTGCCTCAAGCCACCCAGCTTCTCGGACTTCATGCAAACCCTCTACCTTTAACAGAGCCCTAGTCTTGCTGCACATGTGCACTTCATTTTTAGATGCATCAGTGTAGTTCATGCCAACCTGGAGTTAAGAACTTTACCCGTAACTTTTTCAATAATGTTTTTCCCTAAAAGGGTGCCATGCGCTAGCTGAGATAAATCCCAAGTGGCTGAGATCAGTTTGAGAAGTAATTTTGATGATTTTGTAAACATCTAATTTTTTGGAGGGACTGTATTTTAGAAATCCAGTGCTCACATAGCCCCAAATTTGCTCACTAACCCTACCCACCAGCAAATTTCATGAAACAGCAAATTTCAAGGCAGACTAAGCATGTAGATTTTAGAGGCTTAGAATAGTCAACTTTTGAGCAAAGTGACGCTCAACTCTAGAAGATCTTTTGCTCCACTATAATGGATATAGGAGGAATAAATACACTTTTTACAGAGGATAATTATTGAGGTGGGTTTGAATTTTCAGTTAGAACAGCTGATACCTACTCCAATAGATAGTTTAGTAAGCAGATTCTGATTTAATTTTAAGGTGCTATTCCTGCTTGTAACAAAAAAATAAATATTTAAGTACTAATATTTTTTCTACTGAGATTTTAAAAGGGGAAAAAAATACCCTAGAAATTTCTGTAGTCTGTCATTTCTACAAATATGGATGTAATAAAATGACAAGAAAATATTATAATGTAGGTTTGAAAATATGCCATGGCATGTCATCCTAACGGAATAGAACCTTGAATTGAAATATTTGATAGAAAATTCCTTTTGCTAGATTAATTGATTAGGATAGCTTTAATATTTGTTAGAACCAAGTAAGGCTATTGGTACGAGTAAATCTCCATACGTGATCACATGCAAACAGCAAAGCATTTTGATCATGCTGTTTTGTGTAACTCGGTATGGGATGATTATAAGTGCTCAGCACCAATTTAGTCTTTTTGTAATATGCTGACTCTAAACACTAGAGGGTAGCATATCACTAATAATGATTTCATTTCCTAAAAGAATCAGGTTACACATTCTTCAACCTTTCAGGATTACTATACCATTTAAAATCTCTAATCTAAATTTAAACCTTCCGAAAAATGTAGTAGCACGATTAAAACTTTTTTTGGGTGAATTTAGCTGTAATTTATCCCATTTCTCTTGGTTTACATTTCAGTAGTCCATTATGTTTTAGGTGATGTTGGTGGGGTTTTATCTGTACTAAAGTGTGTGCTATTATTTGGTTTGGGCTTCGTCAGTCCAGTGCAAAAAGGATTGAGTAGAACCTTAATCTTCCTTTCCTTTCACCTTACCTTAAATGTGTTTTGGTATTAGTATTATTAGCAATGTAGAAGCATTTAGAATGATTTATTGTCTGCATGCCGTTTGAATATGCACATAGAGATATTTACACCCTGCAGTAGGTGTATTTGTGTATAAGAAAGGCTATGTCAGACAAATAAGAGGCACCTTGCCTTAGCAGACTTATATTCCTGTTGTTTGGATTATTCACCAAGGCAAATATTTATCAGCTTATAAAATTTCTCATAAAATGCATATGCAGTAGGAACGCTACTTTGCAGATTACCTAAATGCAAGTAAACTTTGTTTTCTTGTAGGCACCACCTTCCATGGTCAATAATGAACAACGCCAGCATGCCGAGCACATATTCTTATCATTTAGAAAATCAAAATCACCATTTGCTGTTTGCAAGCATATTTTGGGTAAGTCTTCTTTTTTGAGATTTAACATGTCATCAAATTCACAACTAATAGAAAATACTAGTCTTTTGCATCTGGGAATGTGAACATTAGGTTAGATATTCTTTCATTGTTATTGTACGGTATTAAATTTGTTGGTGAACTGCAAAGCATTTAAAAAGTAAGTTAAATTGAACTCTTTAAGATCATGGATTACACATCTTAAATCCTTGATTTTTAGCTATAATTTTTGTGGTGTTTGCAGAGCTACTAGTATGTTTTTTTTTTAAATGGTCTGCTAAGGGGGAAAAAAAGTTTAGTGCCCCCTCAAAATTTCTCAGCTTTAGCGAAGGCCTTGGTACAACTTTCTTCAGTTGAAGAATTTCTAAATTTGATTTAGAAACTGATTTAGTAACGAAGTGCAACTCCTTTGCCAGGACACTCTTTTATTTTAGTTTGAGAATACTTTGTATGTGGAGCTGGTAATGCCACCTGTAGTTAAGGTTGCTTGTCACTTTCCATTGTAAGACCCTGTTTTCTATTGCTTATGATTTTGCCAGACTTTAACCATACAGGTGGAAATTTTCTATGCCAGTTTCTTAAATAAGTTTCAGCTAAAATGATCATGCCATTTCAGGGAATGAGATTATGGGGAAATATGCTGTTTTATCTGTGATTAAAACCTCCCACTTCCATCCATTTTGTTAAAAAAACTCTAGGGCCTCTAAGCTTTGGAGCAGGGCCTTGGAATTTGGCAGAAAGGTTCATGTTGCCCTGGTGTCAGGGCTGTATTTTTTGTAATGCCTGTGGAAAACTGATCACATTTGGGCAGATTCGGTAGAGACTAGATAGCTTGGCAGCAAAATTACCTCTACTGAGCACAAAACATCCCCACTCAGCTCCTATGTGCTGATCAGAGGTAGGTGTGTGTGTGTGTGTGTGTGTGTGTGTGTGTGTGTGTGTGTGTGTGTGTGTGTGTGTGTGTGTGTGTGTGTGTGTGTGTGTGTGTGTGTGTGTGTACACGTACCGTCATCACAGAGTGAGTGGACACGCTTCAGCTCAGGATTGCAGGGGCTGAGCAGGACATTCCTTGCAGTTGCTTCCCCTGGGGCTGCTGTGATGTTGGGTACAGGAACTGATGATAGACTCTTTCCTGTGCTCTGTGATCCCTCTGTCACCCAGGCAGTGTGGAGGGAAGGAGAAAGCAGCTGATTTGAACGCAGAGGAGTGAGAAATGAGGGACAGTGAGATGGGGTTGGAGGAGCCAGAGAGGGGGCAGTACTTGGGACATGGTGGGGGGACATGCATGCAGCAGGATGGAGACAGGAACAAGGGGGTAGAAGGATAAGCTCAAAGGGGGAGGAAAGCAGCAGCCAGGAGATGGAGTTGGGGAGGGTTGTGTCAGAGCAGAAGGGTAAGGGGTAGAAGACAAGGTGGATGGTGATGAATAGGAGGAGAGGGGGACAGGTTGGGACAGCAGGATAAGAACAGTCTTTAAGCACAAGAGAGCACTCCTTTCCAAAACTTGGAATAAAACCTAGGTGTCCTGAATCTTTCCATTCCACTGCTGATAAGTTCGTGAAGGGCAGGTCCATTAATGGCCATTAGACAAGATGGTCAGGGATGTAGCCCCATGCTCTGGGTGACCCTAGGCCTCTGACTGCCAGATGCTGCTACTGGATGATGGGATGGATCACTTGATGATTGCCCTGTTCTATTAATTCCCTTTGAAGTATCTGGCATTGGCTACTGTCAGAAGACAGGATACTGGGCTAAATGGTACATTGGTCTGACCAAGTATGGCCGTTCTTACGTCAGGAAAAAACTCTGAAACCCACTGGCAAAGTGCATTTCTTGTCTCTCTCTAGTGGCTGGTCCACATATAGAATAACAACCTACTATTCCCACTAGTTATTCAGTTAGCTCAAGTGGTCCCAACCCAGCTGACGAGGGTTAGCTTAGTTAGCTCAAGTAAGGATTCAATATGATTTGACATGATCAAATTTAATTTTTCAGGTTTTTTTTTAAATTAGGAAATTTCATTTAAAAAATGTTAAGGTTGCAAAGTCAAGCATTCAAATTAGGAAATACCAGTATTAAGGTAGCTGATGTCACCTTAATTCAGCCTCCCAGTATGTATGCGTTATGATATTTTTAATTACATGATCACATACTATTTTTCCAAACTAAGCTACATTGATATAAGCCAGGTTTAAATCTATTTAAGTATCCACTTAAGGTTTTCTGCCAGTTTTGAATCAATTTAATAACCGATTCTAGCTAAATCGGTGCAACTTTGAATATAGAGAAGGCCTTTGTCATATATAAAGGAAACATGAATATTGTGGGCTCTTTTAAAAAATATTTGTAAGTCTCCTTTCATAGCCACCTGCATTCCCTTTCAACAAGTAAGTGGTGATGCTTAAGACAAGCCAGCATGTCCCATTCTGGTGGGGGTGCAGTCTGGACAAGTGAGGGGTTGTGTCATTGTCTGTCCTGTATGCTTTACTGTTGTAGCTTCCAACTTAGGTCACTCACAGCCAGCCTGCAGGTAACACCCGGAGTGTCTCTGTGTGCTAGACAGCCCTGGTTTAGCATCTCTTACCCCAGCAGCCTGTCTACAGTCCCACTCTGGCTTCCACCAGCCTTGGTTACTACTTGCAGGGTGACCACAATACACTTCCAGTCCCGAATTTTCCCAAAACTGTGTGTTCTACAATGTCCAGCCCTCGCCTGGGCAGTTCAGAGAAATAATATGGTTCATTTGTTCCTGTACAAACTCAGGAACACATCACAGCTTATTAACTTAACTGGGGGTAATAAACCCTTCCGTTTAAATACAGAACTGAGTTAGTTTTATGGTAAAAAGAAATGTATTGACAAATTATACATAGAGGTAAATGAATTCAGGTATAAGGAATGAAGATATATATGAATTCAAGTATAAGGACTAAATCTGTCTGGGGATTGGTCCTGCTTTGAGCAGGGGGTTGGACTAGATGACCTCCTGAGGTCCCTTCCAATCCTGATATTCTATGATTCTATGAAGATACAAAGTTACAAGTAAAACAAAACATGCTTCTAAAAGTCTAAAACTTAAATCTAGCAAGATACAGACTTTGTTGGAGATGGTTTCTCTTCCCAGTCATGGCTGACTTTCTTCTCATTCAGGACCTTCCACAAAAGTACAAGGTGCTGGCTTCCCTTGTTGTCTTTGCCTAAGCACGTTTCTCGCCTATATTCAGTTTCAGAGACTTGAGCAGCGCTCCCCCTTGGTGGAAGGACTCATCTTTCTTAGCTTGCAGGAACTCTGGCCTCTTGTGTCTGTCTAGTGATGGATGCCAAAGCTGGCTTCTGTCTTTACTTGTATCTTCCAAAGTTCAATGACCTTGTTTCAAAAGGCAGGATCATAGAATCATAGAATATCAGGGTTGGAAGGGACCTCAGGAGGTCATCTAGTCCTACTCCCTGCTCAAAGCAGGACCAATTCCCAACTAAATCATCCCAGCCAGGGCTTTGTCAAGCCTGACCTTAAAAACCTCTAAGGAAGGAGATTCCACCACCTTTCTAGGTAACCCATTCCAGTGCTTCACGATCCTCCTAGTGAAAAAGTTTTTCCTAATATCCAACCTAAACCTCCCCCACTGCAACTTGAGACCGTTACTCCTTGTTCTGTTATCTGGTACCACTGAGAACAGTCTAGATCCATCTTCTTTGGAACCCCCTTTCAGGTAGTTGAAAGCAGCTATCAAATCCCCCCTCATTCTTCTCTTCTGCAGACTAAACAATCCCAGTTCTCTCAGCGTCTCCTCATGAGTCATGTGCTCCAGCCCCCTAATCATTTTTGTTGCCCTCTGCTGAACGCTTTCCAATTTTTCCACATCCTTCTTGTAGTGTGGGGCCCAAAACTGGCACAATACTCCAGATGAGGCCTCACCAATGTTGAATAGAGGGGAATGATCACGTCCCTCAATCTGCTGGCAATGCCCCTACTTATACAGCCCAAAATGCCCTTAGCCTTCATGACTTCATGCTATTCTTCCTTTCCTGTGTGCTCCCCTCCCCCAGATGGGGCTTCCATTGTTTGATTCCACCATGCTTAATTTACATAGGAGACTGGTAGATAGCTGTGCCATTCCCTCCTGTCTGGGCAGACTGTACAGCAGGGGTGGGCAAACTTTTTCGCCTGAGGGCCACATTTGGGTATAGAAACTGTGTGGCAGGCCATGAATACTCACGAAATTGGGGATTGGGGTGTGGGAGGGGATGAGGGTTCTGGGGTGGGGCCAGAAATGAGGAGTTCAGGGTGTTGGAGGTTCCCGACCAATGGGAGCTGTGGGGAACAGCGCTTGGGGTGGGGGCTGCGTGTGGCGTCCCTGGCCCTGGCTGCCCCTACGCATAGGAGCCAGAGCGGGGACATGCTGCTACTTCCGGGAGCTGCGCGGAAAGCCCCCAACCCCACTCCCTGGCTGGAGCACGGAGTGGGGCAAGCCCCTGACCCCGCTCCCTGGTGGGACGGGAGTTTGAGGGCCAAATTAAAAGGCCCGACGGGCCATAATTTGCACCCCCCCCCCGCTGTACAGCCTAATATCATTGAGTATCCATAATTCCTTACATAGTGTTAATATCGTTGTGAAATAAATGTATTGATCACTAGCATGTCATTTGTTTTCAGAGGAGATCTTACTCTCTACACTTTTATAATACAGTAATATTGTGTGCAATCAGTGGATTCCGTTGCTTATCACTTGAGGTTCAGCCTCCCCCGCCCCCCCAGTTTTTTTACAGACAAGTAAACCTTTGAAATGGATTCTTCTGAAAAGTGGAACCCAGACCAAGCTGCATGGTGTAGACACCTCCTGTCTTCTCCACGCATTTGTTAGCCTCCACTCCTTGTTAGCTTGATGGGTCTGTTTACTGCTTATATGTAAATTGAGTAATCACACATTCCTTTGTTTAAGATAAACTTGTTCAAGTCCCCCAACATACCTGGTTTCTCTCTCTCTCTCTCTCACTAATTCCAGCATAAATTCATAACTATTAATACACATTGAATGCATACATACATCTCAAAGAATATTAATGGTCAGTGAGTGACTAGTTTTCAAATGATACTTCACAAGGCATATTTTGTACAAAGATTATTACAGTAGTTTGTAGTGTGAGTACAGGGGTGCTTAGTGTCTCTCAACATTTCTTGCCCTGCCAGCTAGCCCGCCACAACCAAATGCCAGGTACAGCTCTTTATCCTCTTACCACTTCTGCCCTTTCTGCTCTATAGCCAAGTCCCCTGCATACTGCTCCTTCTGTGCTTTTTTCACAATGACCCCCCCCCAAAAAAAAAAAAAAAAGTAGAAATTCAGAAGTCAGGAGTTGATGCTTTCAAATCTTTTTTTAAAGTTATCTGCAAACACCTGAATAGGTTTAAGGAAGGGGATGCTTATAAACGTAGGTTATAAAATCCTAAAAAACAATGACATATATATTTATTATGCACCCACAAATTACATTAAAATAACATTAAGGTTGCAAAATCAAGCATCCAAAAGTTAGAAGATGAAAGAATTAAGGCTGACTGTGTAACATTAATTCCTGTTCCTTGTGCATAGGCATTATGATACAATCTTTAATAACATGGGTATATGCTATGTGTTAGTCAGTGACCAGTCTTTTCGTCGTCTTCCTTTCCTCTCCCCCCCACCCACGGTTCCTCATCCCAATCCTGTTTTCTTTGCCTAGCCAGTCAGTCTCCACTCCTTAGGCTTCTCATCACAGTCTCCATCTCCTCCCAACTCCTCCTGCCATTCATAATAATATATGATAATGTGATAATTCTGGCATTTTATCTCCTTGTCACATGTGAGAGGAACTAACCCCTGAAATAGCAAAACCAGTTAACAAAACCGCAGCTGACTATATTTTTTGAACGAAAAATATTTTTTCATTTTAACCAGCATGGACAGTGAAAACAGCAGGTGATAATCGAATAATGTCTTTGGTCTTAACAGAAACTAGTAAAGTGGACTATGTCCTTTTTCAAGCTGCCACAGCAATAATGGAAGCAGTTGTGCGAGAATGGATTCTCTTGGAAAAAAGTAGCATCGAGTCACTGCGAACATTCCTTTTAACCTATGTCTTACAAAGGCCTAAGTAAGTATGGATGGAAGTACTTCCAAAATATTTACATAAATTCCTACATAAACCATGATTTACCTTTGTTTAATCTTCCTAGGCTAACAGGTAGAAACATTTAATGGTAGTGACACTTCTAATTCCTGAATGGATGACTCTTGACATCTCTAGAATTGTCAGTTTTCATTTAAGCTTTCATTGTGTTCTTGAAAAAATAACCCAGATTTAAAATTCTGTTTTACAGAAGCCTTGTGCTGTTCAGCTTAATGGCAAGAACTTAATATTTGTATTATGTTTACAGCCTTCAAAAGTATGTTCGGGAGCAGATTCTATTAGCAGTAGCAGTAATAGTGAAACGAGGATCATTAGACAAATCGATTGACTGCAAAAGCATTTTCCATGAAGTCAGCCAGTTGATAAGCAGTGGTAACCCCACTGTGGTAAGTTCTTGTTTAAAATATTATATAATCATTATAAATTGTATATTAAGTATACTAGTTTGCTGGATTATTTTCATATCCAGAATATGAAATTAGGAAGCCTAATCAAAGAAAATAGTAAATGGCTGCTTGAATATCTGAATCTGGGATTTTTTTTGTGAGAAATGAGTTTTGAGGCAGTTTGTAATGCATGTTGTATTTACAGTGCTTTACCCTGTTGCACTATGACAGATATCTGTGTCCTATGGAAAAGTGTAGATTTGCATTTGGCATTCTAGAGACAAATGTTAATGAGCATTTTAAACTTGTATTTAATACTAGCGTGTTTGATCCATTAGTCTCTCACTCATATAGTATGGGGTAATCTTTACTAGAATTAAACCAGTGTACTTGTTTCCATTCTGAGTTGCTTCAAGAGCCATGACACTTGATATAAAAAAGGATTTTCCATTAGCTGGCAGTGGTTCTGTAAGGACTCTGTTCCACTTACATCTGTCCATTGCTGCACCCTGTTTTGGTTCAGCTGTTGGAATTGTCTACTGAGCAAGAGACATAGACCTTCTTCATTCTCTGGGAGTTGGGCCAGGTGGGGAGAAAGGGTTGCGAGGAAGTAAAAACTGGAATGGAAATATAAAACTTGTTCACTCTAGATTTAGAATCAGACCGGAGTAAGTGTTCCCTTCCTTATTGTGTTAAAGTGGAAACAAGGTGTCAATGTCTATCTTTGCATTTAGTTAAATTCCATTTACTATGCCAGGAGATAAGATTAGAATAGTTCGTAATGGAGGCTTTAGTGATAAACTTGATATCTAAATATATCTAAAAACTAAACTAACTTAACTACAAATTAAAGAAACTCGATAATTTGCCTCCCAAATGTAGATGTACGATTATGCAAAAAATTAGCATAAACTAAAACTACCCACATCCCATAAAAAGGGGCTTGACTTTTAGAATTGCTGAGCACTTAGGACTCCATTTGAGGTAAATGGGAGCTGGAAATTCTCAGCACCGCTGAAAATCACATCAAAGAAGTGCAGTCAGAGTAATGCAACTCCTGTCATGATCCTAAAAAGTGTTCCACTTCTAACAGATTTCCCTAACTCATAGAAATGGAAGTTCTAAGATTGTTTTTAAACTCAGATTTCCTGTTTGGCAGCACAGTATTCTAATGTCTGTACAAAGAACAACATCCTCACCCAATTAGCTGCTTAAAATGCATATTAGCCTATAATAGGCAGTTGTGTGGAGATTGATAATTGTGTGGAAGGAGAACTATACATATTAATCTTTTAATCATTCAAAATATAGTTTCCCCCCTGAAAAATATACTTGAGGTTTCCAAAAGTTTTCTATACACTCATGTGTATATGTATAGGAAGTTATTTGATTTTAACTAATGATACAGGAGTGGGACAAGTAGAAAGCTGCATATCAGAGGAATAGTCACTGGACCAGCTCTTGCAGTCAAATACAATACACAGATGCTAGATTATATGTCATTTAAGTTTGCTCTCTATATAATATACCTAGTACAAAACCTAAAAAGTAAGGAAATAAGTTAAGTCTACCAACAGTAAATACCTCTGCTTCCCGTCCATAGGCTCACCTTGCCACTAACACAGTCACCATACATTATTGATAATGTATCATAACCTTATCTCTGCCTTGTAGTAATGCTCCGGTTTTCCAGCACCTCCTTCCTCAATTTCCACCCACTTCCAATATAAACAGACCAGACTTCACCATCTGTTCCTCTTCCTCCTTTCCACTACCCACAAACATATTACCCCCTCTGCACAAGTTTTTTGGAGCTACACACACACACACACACACACACACACACACACACACACACACAGACG